GATTAACACTGATATAATGATCACAACTCACTAAATCGTAATAACACTGTTGCAAACAAATCAAGGAACTGGTGGGGCTTCAACCCATGACACGTGAATCCTAACATTCACAAGTATGAGTGGTTTCGACTAAGCCGAGTGGTTAACGCACTGGCCCAGGTTCAAGCCCTAGTCTCTACGTGATTTGATAACTATCACAGTTAAGATAATCAGAGGTAAGATAACCACAGGTAACATAATGACAGCCACGATAGCCACAGGTAAGATAATCACAGTTAAGCTGCTTATAAACAACACAAATATCATCACACAGAGTCGAGGAGTTCGCTATCAAGCACACTTTTACTGCTGTTACCAGCGCTAAGGGGCAAGTAAGCTATCCATTTGGAAGACACTTATTACAGTTTCAGGCACTAAGCAAAGGTAATTCATCCGCAGACCAGACATTTATTATCCACGCAGACAGTATATTTCAAGCATATAATCCTTTAGCTAGACATGTATTACTTTCGCGCCAACAGAGTCGGTGCAAGTCGTCTCCCGGCTAGATATAACCTACAGTTCCACCCACTAAATACGATTTTGCATACATAAAGTGGACTTATACTGCAGGTGTAGATATTAAAACTGAGGTAAATCATTCAATAATGAGGTACGTATCGCCGCTCACGGCACAAAGGCATTTGTAAGGGATGCAATCAGTGGACACATGATCAGACACTTGTAGGATTAAACCGCATGGTAATGTCAATTGTGTACACGAAGAAAAGGCACAGATGCAGAGCAAGACTTTATTGTGACGATGTTTCGATCTACGCAGAGCGAAATGATGCCACAGTAAAAGTCTGACCTGTACCTGTATGTTTTCTCTGTACACAGCCTGCGCGCACACACACGATGCATGCACACACACACAGGGACAGAGAGGTTGTCAATATCAACTATGACAGGTGTTTGGGTGGTAAAAAGAAAAGCAGTTACCGTAAAATCTTTATACTGATGACTTTTCGTCCATGCAATGGGCTTGAGTAAGCCACAAACAAACCTATTAACTTGAAAAAGCAGACTGTGGGCTAAACGTTGTCATTAAAGAATTCACAATAACTATGTTTCTCTCTCCTTATGCAGGTATGTTGACAAACAGACTTGTCGGCAATACCTGTCTTCCTACACACATGTGACCGATTTCGACGGTTCTTTTGCCTAACCCCCCCCCAACCCCACCCACCACTACAACCCAGCAACAGGCCAGGCTTCCTTGTTGGCCGTCTGGTCAAGCAGGCTGTTTGTCCTAGCTGCTCGGTCATGGGCAATGCTCAAAATAATTAAAAAAAACACATAAAAAAACTTAAACTGGTTAACACCAACAGGCCACACCAGGCCGCCGCTTATCCACAAAGCGAGCCACACCAGCGGGGCCATCCTGACCATAGCTCATACCTGTAGTGAGCCACACCAGCGGCCCTTACTAATACACAATACTACAACCAACACTGCAATGGGCCACAGTAACCACCGCTACAACCCTGCAGTGGGCCACACCAGCGAACGGCCACTTAGGGCAACTCAATAACTCCAATTTGACGAAGCTGATGAAGCGGGACCACTTCAGCCTCGAGTACCGCTTTAAAAAAAGTTGAAATTAATACGAGCAGGAGAGCCTGGTTAATATTTGCATTTGAATTGCTATTGACATGTTAGGTCCCCAATAATGCAGCTTGTTTATTGAGAAGTGCAGTGATAAATAGGCAAGACCTTCAATATTCATGCTGGTTATCCATAGGCTGCCTATGCAATTTATTCATTTTATTTCGTTAGTTTGTCGACGTTGTACTGCTCCCTGAATTCTTGATACTTGTATATTTTCCACTTTAAATCAGCTGCAGAAGCAGGGACGGGCCAGCAGCAGCAGGGACGGGCCAGCAGCAGCAGGGACGGGCCAGCAGCAGCAGGGACGGGCCAGCAGCAGCAGGGACGGGCCAGCAGCAGCAGAGACGGGCCAACAGCATCAGCAGCAGCAGCAGAGACGGGCCAGCATCAGCAGAGACGGGCCAACAGCATCAGCAGCAGCAGCGTCAGGTTGTCCCAACATGCCGTGTGCGCCCCTGTGAAGAGACTAACAAAAAGTGGTCCTGGATACGACACCGTGGGACGCTGGCTTCCCCTTCCCCCTCCTCCTCTCCCTTTCGCCCTTCCCTTCCTTTCCCTTTCCCTTGCACAAGTTCACCTGAAATTTACCCTTGTAGTTCAGTATTCGTTGTTAAATGTTCGTTATGGTCGTTGGTTTTGACGATCATATAACAGGTGCTTTCCATTTTTTGCCTTCTCACGAGAGTCAACAACTGTAAGTGTAAACAATTAGCCTCATGAAAGTGTGACGTTATAGATATAAAATGATTTTAGCAAGGTTTTAATAGTGTTAAAATCTTCTCTTGTACGTTTTGCCTGCTGGTTTTCTTGATGGTACCGCTGGTGGTGCTGTTGCTGGTGGTGCTGTTGG